TAAATCCCCAGGTCTGTGAGCAGAAGCCCAGGTCCCCTCCGAGGGACTGTAGGATCCTAGGAAGTTGATGATTTTTCTAAGCCCAGAAAAATCCATGCTTTTATCTATGAGTCTGACAAATAGACTAGAATCAGAAAATCCAATAATACTTCCATGAAAATGCCACCGGGTCGTAGGGTGTCTCCGTGTGCCGAGAAGTTCAAGAAATCCCCAAGTGTTCGGTGGCCCTCCCTGTCTTCTCTATAAATATCAACCGTCATATTTCACCAAACTGAAGAGGCCTTTGGTTGGAAAATGCAGCATTATTTTATGCTCCGCCAAGAAAAAAAAAAAAAAGATTCCAGTCAAACTAACACAATTCTTTCATTTCACATAAAATTTGTGTATTGTGCTTAGCGATGAGACTCTTGTGAGCCTATTTTAAAGGTAGACTTTTTTTATTTATATGGGACGCTGTCTCGTTCGTGCCTCATTTAGACAGCGCCCTTGGTGCTGAACCATGGTGTCACTGTTTGCAGGCCTTTGGAAGGGCGATTAGAGTTGATGCAGGCAATGATATTTGTAACCTGCTGTGACTGCCTCTGAGCACGCACCTCGGCCAGAGACGCTGAACGAGCTGGACTTGGAGCTGCTACAATGTTACTAAGTGATGAGGAGGATCCGGTTCTGTCCCCACATGATACTGTCCTGCCAGAGAGCCAGTGAAGTCCGTTCCACGGCCTCCCTGATGGAAACACAGACCCCCAAACCACGCACGTCCATCTCCCAGGCCGTTGATTCAATATTTGTCTCCACACTGATACTGGAGATTCTAAAATAGCAACAAAGACAGGAGAGGAGAAACGTTTAGCATTTTCGGGGTCTTTCTGAGGATGAGACGAGGGAGGTTGAAAATCCCTGGTCTAGGCCAGTGGAACGGTAAGTGGCTGCATTTTCTCAGACGTTTCCTTTCGATTCCAGCAAATCAAGTCGATTGAACGATACGTGAGACGCCTGGAGTTTCACATCAGCAAGGTAATTGCGTTCCTGGTGTCTTGGCCTGTTTTTCGGGTACCGATCCGCACACCTTTGGCCTGAGCTTAGCGCGTAGTCCAGGGGGAGCTTCTTATCACATTGACTCCTCGGCTGATTCGCAAGTAAGTCCCCCAACAGGCAGCAAAGATGGGGGGAAATGAGATTGGGGCGCCTGACACCCCAGCGCGGCTAGGACTGCGCTCAGCCCAGCAGCCGTGCTTGTCCGCCGCCCGTGAGCCCGCAGCTTCCTGCGGGAGGGCTTCCGCCCCGGGGCCGTCTGTCGGGAGAGAACTGAGCCAAACGGGGCTGCAAGAAACGTCACCCCCGCCTGACGTCACAGACTGGTCCCACATACGGCCTGGCACCCCCTGGGCTTCTCCACGGAGGAGAAGTGGGTGCACTCAGAGACCCCTGCCAGCCCTCGCTAATCCCTCGTGGGGTCGCATTCCTCCACTATTCCTCACGTGGCCTGGGTTCCGGGGACCTTCTCATTTTTAGTGGCCCCCGGATGTGTACTGGTCCCTGACACCCAGCCCCTAACCCTACAGAGAGTTCACCGATGGCCCAGCCAACCAGTGGGGGGTGGGACCCCCTGTTCTGAACCCCGTCAGGAGATGCCGGCGCAGCTAGAAAACTTCCCTTGGGAGCAGCGAAGTCACACCAGGCACAACCCCTGTTCCCACCCACTCGCACCAGCTTCTCTTCCAAGTGCGGAGCCGGAGGGTTGGCATCTCTCTGCTGGGACTCAGAAGCCTCAGGGTCCAGTCCCAGCCCTGCCAGGTCCCCCGGGCGGCACCACCAGCGTGGACCCGGGCTTTCCGCTCGGGGAAGTGCGGCTGGGAGGCGCATGTGTCCAACATTCTCGTCCCAAGAACCGCCTCCTTTTACGATGCGTGATGGCTTTGCCCGTGGCACCCACTGCCCCTGCACACTCCCGCTTCAAAAGGCACCCATGACCTCGGCAGCTCTAAATTGCTCCATTTCTAACCCTGATAAATAAAACAGTGACGCCCATGAGGAGGCATCGGTGCGGCAGGCAAGCTGTGACAGGCGACTCCGTGTAGTGTGAAAAGCAAAGAAAGCAAGCTCCGTGCTGGGCAGGCGTGTTTCTCCACCGTGTCCGTCCCCGTGGGATGCGCAGCCCCGCGGCTATGAGAGGCTGGAGTGCTGTTTGCGGCAGGTCTGCACAGGCTGCCAGCAAATCAGTCGCTTTAATGGGCTGAATGAGTTTGTCCGTTTGTCAGTGGCTGTGGAGCCACTGCCAGCTTACAGGGAAGAAACGCTGGGCGTGGGCGGGCCAGCTCTGCTCGGATGCAGGCGGGTTACCCTGTATCCTGAAGCGTGACCCCGCTTGGCTGAGATAGTTAACGTTCGACGAAAACAAAAAATAAGCTGCTCTTTAAATGCAAAGTAATAGACTGAGTCACTGGGGCTGACGCAGCGGTTCAGTGAGCGGGTTACAATCGCAGAGACGCTGGGGGGGCCGAGGGGCGAGGGGCGTCTCCCAGGAGACCACACGCCTGGCTGGCAGTGAAGGAGGCTCAGGCACCCCACCCCAGTTTCTACAAGTTTCGGGGCGCACCTCCCGCATCAGACGGCTCTGCGACGATTGTCTGACATCTCAGATGCCTGGCCCAGCCCTAACCCGCTGAGCCCACGTCTCGGAGCAGGGCCCGGGCGTCGGCGTTTCACCGGCTCACCCGGTGCGTTAGTTTCAAGGTGCAGCAACCTCCCCCTGGGCCGTCACCCACCCGACGATGTCGTCAGTGGACAGGCCAGCCCTCAGGGCCTCGACCGCCCTGTTCATCGCAGACACATCCTTCGGCCCCGAAGACGAAGGCCCGTTCTGCTCCCCCCGAGCTGGCAACATGGGGCGAACTGTTGGGCTGCAGAGCGAGAGGCCTCCCACCAGGAGAATCGGGGCCAGCGTCTCCGTGTTCACGGGCTGAGCTCCGGGCGATGCCCCCGGGTGTGGGGCGTGGTGACGGGGTCACTGGCTCCAGCAGGGCGTAGTGACGCTTTTCAGGGAGCCACACGAATGTGCCTTCCGCACAAAGGGGGACCTTAACCTCTCAGGTCCGTGAGCGGCGCCTCCACCTTCCTCTGGGCTTTACAGCTTACGCCCCGTTTCGAAGGAACGTTTTGGACAGAAATGAGAAATTCAGGGAGTCCTACGTAGGTGACAGCCCCCCGGGTCACAGGTTTCGTCTGCGCCTGCTGGTGGCTGGCGACGTGGTCTGTCTGCCTGCCTGCTGAGCTGTGGGTAGTGGAAGGTGGTACAGACGGCAGAGATCCTCGCCGTCGGGGAAACTGAGAGCAAGTGCCTCCCCTCAGCGCTGTGGGTGCTTTGGGGTAATTCTTGGTTTGGGGGCTGCCTCTGCTCTGTAGGACGTTTAGCAGCCTCTGCCGCCTGACGCCGGTAGCTCCTCCAGCCCCGAAACGTCTCCACACGTTGCCACACGTCCCGTGGGCGCTGAAATACCCGTAGCGGATGGAGAATCACTGCCCAGGAGGCATTAAGTGAGAGCCAGGCTCCTGTGGAGTGCGGCCGATAGTCACTGGCACCGGGTGCGAGGGGGTTTAGGAGCCCAAGTGCAGGGACGTAGCTGGGACAATGCTCCTCTCCGCTGCTTCCATTTATTTTCTGACTGAGTGTAATTGACACGCGACAAACACCACAGTTCCTGAGGGTTCCGTTCAGTAAGTTCTCACCCTAATTTCGAGAACACTTTCCTTCTCTTATTGAGCCAAGAATTTACAAAAATCGTTTTCAATAAATAGCCTCAAGTTCTTTTTTTAAAATAAGCTCAGTCTGGGTGTGTGGCCATCACCTGGTGACACTGTCTCTTAAAATAGTAATAATAGCCTGGTGCAGCCCCCGTCTCCACCTCGGAGGGAAGCCGTACAACCTCCCGCTTGTCACGGGCACAGGAGGGCCAGCCCCCATTGCCCCACACCTGTCGCGTGTGTGCAGGTGGCCACACCTGTCGCGTCTGTGCAGGTGGCCACACCTGTCACGTGTGTGCAGGTAACCACACCTGTCGCGTGTGTGCAGGTGGCCACACCTGTCTCGCACGGTCCGCCCACGTCCACTTCTTTCCCGTGTTGTGTGCTTGGGAAAGCAGCTCAGATTAAAATCGGTTCTGACATAGAAAGTGGATCCTAGTGGTGAAAACAGAAGTGGCGGGTCCATGTCTGAAAGGACGAATTTCTCCAGGCGTCCCTTGCCGAGCTCAGGCCCAGAGCGTCGGACCCACGGCCAGTGGCCCCCGTGGCATGGTCCATGCGCGACCAGGACTCACCTCCCTCGTGTCCCCCCTGGCTTCCGGCAGGTAGACGAGCTCTACGAAGCCTACTGTATCCAGCGACGCCTCCAGGACGGCGCCAGCAAGATGAAGCAAGCCTTCGCCGCGTCCCCCGCCAGCAAGGCCGCCCGCGAGAGCCTGTCCGAGGTGCACCGGAGCTACAGAGAGTACACGGAGGTAGGTGCCCGGCGGCCTGCCCGCCTGTGCGCAGCACCCGGAGCGAGGACAGACCTGCAGGCGGCCTCGCCCTGCTCGTAGACAGACAGGCCTCACTCTTCGCCTCTGGCTTTTTTTTTTTTTTTTGAGG